TGTTGAACTGATATCTCAACTCCACAAATATCAAGACTTGTGTATAAATCTGCCATTCTTAGACACCTGTTGATGCCCATGTTATGATATAATTTATTTCCTTGGTCAGCTATGCAACAAAGAGTTCTGGAATTCCAATAACTACAAGACTTTGCCACTGAGTAACACATTGCATAAAGCCCCACAGCAGAACATTGTTTGCAAGAGCAGTTGTGTTCTTCTCTCAAATTGTTCACTCTAGTTACTTCATATGTACTAATCTGCACTCCTCTAAGTTCATAATTGTCACTGAGGGAGTGTATAGTCTGGAAACACTGTACTAAGCCCTGAATAGATGGTACTTCTAATAGTACACATGTACCTGAGGGATGGCTTCTACCATATTCGTCTCTTGCATGAGAGTCAAATATCTTATAATTCCCATTATCAGTATGATAGATACTGACACCGATACATTCTATTGTCAGAATAAATGAAGAGTAATTTTGTGATAAGAGTTATTCAAAAGACCTGTCTCTAGACATTATACTGTGCTGATATCCCTCAATTATTGAATTAAGTGTAGCTTTCACTATAATTAAGCTGGTAGTTTTCCTCAGACAAATCAATCATTGACAGTAGGTAATTCAGTTTGCAGTTTAAATACACCTGCCCTGTAAATTGTGACAGCGTTGAATACAATTGATTACCCATCTCCAAAATTTGTACCAGGTCATCACAGGTATGTATTCCTTTTATCTTCTTATAAATCAAAGCAATCAAACTCATAGCAACACATTGTTTTCCAGCATTTTCACCAAAAGTACACAATATCACCTTCACTATATGGTGCCTTGATTGTTAGAGTAGGATCAATACCATATATAGGAGGCCCAGAATTTGTTTCAGTGTCATTACACAGATTCAGCGTAGCACAATGAACTCTGTGGCTCGTATTCTTGTACACACTTAATAATGTATTACAGCTATACAAAGATAGATATTTTCCCAAAGACTCTCGACAACTCGACGATTTTCGATTCAGTGTTGACCGTGTAGAATGCCATTTTTTTTCTCTTCTTTTGTACAAACTTGATACTGTCATTATTGCTCCTTGTTCTAAGTCTGCATTTGACGTAGCAATACATTTTTTACGAGACAGAAATTTTTTAAGCATTCGCCTGCACACTAACTTCTTTATTTGTTTGTTTTTACGTGAGAACTTTTCTAGATTTTTTACAGGTATTCTGCTGGGCTCAAGATCGAATCGTCTTCGCACATGGTAATCACCATTGTTAATATTACAATGATTAACAAACATCGCATAACGAGACCTGAATTCTTTTGCATATTTTATTTCTTTTGCAACATCATTTTGTTGTATACACAACGCTGATTCGCCACTCTTTTGTTCTATACATAGCGCTACATTGTCCAATACATCATCACATTCATTTGACACCACTTCGTTTGGTACCAAACAAACATTCCTGCTCAACAATATGCGCACAAATGCGACAAAACTACTGGAACAAATGGAAAAATAACAGCTGACAATGTACTCTGTTTGAGCAAAAACATAACGAATGTAAGCTTAATAACCACGAGAGAGGTCACATAAATATAACAACCATGTTTATCCTCACTCTGATGAAAGTCCAACATGGCATCTTTGTCGTCGTTTCCTAGAGTTTGATAACGAGGCACCTTGTCTTTATCAGCAAATGTTCTTCGGTCACTCTGTCCACATTTTCTGTTCACTGATAACTCATTTGATTTCTGGTTTGATTATGGTGAGACCTTCGCTAAATCATTTTATTCTTTTGCTATTTTGAGTTCGCGGAACGACCCGTTTCGAAATATATGCTCATTACACAGGCCATCTTTTAGAGTGGGTCTACCGCGAACGGTGTGTAGGTCTGTATGCTTGAGCGTAGAAAAGATGACACCATTCGCTAAGATATTCGACAAATCCGCCATGTTCGACATGGTGGAAAGAAGGTTGCGCCTCTATTACGTGTCTGCGGTATTTCCCATTGCACGTGACTGAGCTTTGTGGAGAAACCCGAGGGTAAACCTATAGTCGGTCGCCCGACTAATAAAGGAACTGATCGGCAACTAAAGAAACTCCTGATTGTTAGACAAATTCTCCTTGTCAGCAACTTAGTTATTGTACAGAGAACAGTATGGAAATATGAGTACTGATGTTACGGTGTAAAGGGTTGAGGTCATTAGTGTTCTTACCCCACAGGTACAAACTGAAGAAAATCCTTTCAAAGTTAAGGTTTTCAACAAACAGTTAAATGATCAGGACACCTTCCAGAGCATCACAAAGTACATACAGTCGGTTTGACTGACTGAATTACGTACATACCATCGAATTGACAGACCCACTTAAAGACAAAATTAATCGTCTGGCTGATTGACTTGCCAGCCAATCAAGTTTTAACCTACTTCATGATTCATTGTACAAGAGCGAGAATACCGCGTATCTGTAGATTTCAGGTACACTTTATGGATTAATAATTATTATTAAAATTGCGTGATTTTTCCACAAACTATATATCAAATTGTTCGATACAACTACCGCAAAATGTACCGTGAACCGATGAAATGACGCGCGTGATTAGTGTCAGTACAGGCATAAATTTGGTCCAATATATCTCTAAAGCAAACACGGTTACCTTTTTTTTCTTTGGTATGTTTCGAGACAGATATTGGTGGGGAACATGTAAGGAACGTTTTAAAAAAATTGTTGAGTAACATTTTTTTTTTCTGAGGAATCACCTTCAAATGCCTATCACACAAAACTTTTGAAATTACGACCGATAGCGATGTATACTTACCTTCAGCAAGCTCTACCGAGAGTTGCGATACATCTTACTAAAGAAGCAAAGAAAAAATGGAAGTTGCGAGCACGGTTCAGCCCCACAAAGGAGCACCGCCTGCATCAAACGAAGATTTCGACGAAGACTGACTAAGATGCTTTCTCGCCTGCGGTTTTCAGGTCAAGACTAGAACAACAAACTCCTGTTACTAAATAATTAGTTTGTTGCGTTTTTGTTTTGTTTTCTATAGCGAAATCTATGTTAAAAATGGGTAGTGTGTTCGCTTCTGTTGCCATAACACTTCCTTCGCACTAAGAGCGGCGAAGGTTCCCCTCGCTCAGTGCTCTAGAGTTTCGTTACTGTAGAGTAATTCCCAAAGCAAACCAAAAGCGAACTTTTGACGAAAGAATCAGCTGTATCGCGAGGCACGATGATTTTTCGCCAAGAGGTCATCGGGCAGTTTCACTGCAAGTTGCTCCTTTCCTCAGAGAGTGCAAAGGCAGAGGCTATCGTCGTCGAGCTGGTCAAACCGAAAACGAGTGATTTTATAATAATCTGATTCAAGTTAATCTCAAAGAGGGATTTTAAAAGAGAAAAACTTCTTTAGTTTAAATGCAGCATTGCCATATTACCCATTTCGCCCAATGGATAAATGAATATTTCGTATGTATCGACTTTCAAACAGCACTTGGATTCGCTACCATCCAATTCAATAAAACTTGTGTTTCTTTATTTATCTCGTTGCAGTGCTGTTATCACAATGACATTGCCACTGTTGCTACTTTTAGTTTCTTAAGAGCAGGGAGAAATGATGGCTCGTGGGATTGATTTTCGGAAACCTAGGTTGGGAGAATGCACGGCCGCCTCGAGCTTGTATTTATGCCAGCATCCGCCAGAGGTTTTGCACTGTTCACGCAACAGAATATCGGTCAGTTCAGGAAAGGGCTTGAACTTTATTACAAATGATATAGTTCTGTTACTAAAACACGATGGAAACAAGAATTGGTTCGATTTTCATACGATGAGAAAAGTGCAAATGTAGTTATGTGGGAAGACAAGGAACGTAAGTACATCTGTAGCGCGTGAAATAAACAACAACAAGGAGCTTGCCTTTCTTCGCTTGCGAAATGCCAGCCGAAAAGAATCAGTCGTGTTCGGTGTGGGAACAGGCCCCTTTTTTTTAGCAGAATTCGTTGGTTATCTTCCCCTGGTTTGACTAGTGGTATGTGTTAGTAAGAGCCGTCTTCGAAGCCGGTACGGAGCATAAGGCCAATGACTTTGAAGAGTAAAATCTCCTCGATGACAACGATCGAAACGCGTCCATTTTGGCCATACAGCTACATCCTTTGGAAAGTAATGTATAGAAATACTCGGTATAAGTGTATTATTCTTGTAGCTAACATCATTTGGCACTCCAGCAACGCAATTCCTCTGGATTTCTCCTCTCTCCATTGTAGTTGCCGACGTGTCTTCACAGTTTCCCACGTCACAGCTATGTAATATGATCGTTTTGGTTGCACGCTTTAGAGGGACACTTTTTGGCCGCCAAATCGTACTTTCAATGCACGAAAAAGTGAACAAGGAGAACTCGTCAGGCGCTAAGGTCGATTAATTCTAATTCTGAATACCGCTATCAGCCAGAAAATCAAAAAAATTTTCGTGTCATAGGCACGTTAAGTATCTATTTTTATAAGTTCCACTCTGGTTCAGTTCTTTGACTGACAGCCAGTCCACAAAAAAAATTCTCGGATTAGAACTATACATGAATGTCAAAATGAATCTTGAAGGGGGGGGGGGAAGTTAGCGATCCCTTGAGCTTTTAAACTGGATATTTATTGTAAAAGGGGTTTGAACTGTTGCTGGGTCGTCCAATTTCAAAGCATTCACCATTATCATTCACCATCCAACAGTTTGGTAACGAGTTATAGGCATTTATTGTTCAGTTTATACTGTATTGACGCTGAAAAACCCATTCAGGGAGCTTCAACTGATAAAGATCTGCTTCTATATCTATCTGTATCTAGTTCAAACAGCTTAGATCGTTTCAGCAAACAATATTGGATTTTAACCGTCGCCACGACCAGCCAATGAATTGGAACAAATATTTAAAACTTTCGGGCGAAATAAAGCTATGTTAGTTTTAAGAACAATTGTAATATATCAATTGCACGTTCTGCAATCATTTGCCTATCAATGTCGCTGCTGTTGACACTAGTGCACTTTGCAGAATCAGGTCATGAATATGCAGATGGGAATGTTTTCCGAGTCACGTCCACTCAAACTGAACCTATGATTCAATTTCTTTTTCTTTGTGAGAATACAAAACGAAGGAAAAAACTAATTCTTTTTCCATTTAAAATCCAGGTGTTTCACTTGAGCGGCATGCGCTTACCAGCTAAATTCCTAATCGAAAAACTCCACCGGAAGAACCAGAAAGTTGATATTCATTTGGATGGCGCACAAAACTGGGGAGCATTCAAACACGACCTCAAAGACATCAACTGTGACAGCTACAACGGAGGGAGTCACAAGTGGTTCCTTGGTCCCAAAGAGACGGGTATCTTGTACATGAAGAGAGAAAGTGTGCCCAATTTCTGGCCCAAAGATATTGGGTACAATGGCGGGATGCAGCCTCCACCTACCTTCGCGGGTGACCCACTGTCAGATGATGCGTCCGGGTTTGAGATGGTTGGCCAACGGAACGATACCAACCATTGGGCTGCTGTATACCGTCGATCTGATGGATTTGATAGGCTTCGACAAAATCGAGAAGAGAGTCAAGTCATTGATTGAGCGACTAAGGGGCGGCTTGGACGAGGTTACGCGCGAACTCCACAATGTCTTCCTGGTCCTGACCATCAAATTTCGAGACGATGTCGGAACCGGAGGAGCACGCAGGCAAAGAAAGAGTCAAGAAGTGAAGCCAGAATTGAACGAAGTGTTGTACGACGCGTTGTATGAACATCACCACATCGGGGTGTCGACAAAGAAAGGAAATCGAATGAGATTCTCCCCGCATATCTACAACATGGAGGAGCACATCGACCGGGCAGTTGAAGCCGTTAGATATGAGCTGAAAAAAATCCGACCGAGGATTTTTAGTTTTAAAATACTTCAACAGCTACTTTGACGTTTTTTACCCTTGCTTTCAAGAAGAGATGACCCAATTTACGAACTAAAGCTAGTGATAAAAGAAAAATTTATTTTTTCAATCGGACCTGACGTGTTAGTGAAAGTAAGCGCACACGAATTCAGAATTCGTTTTTGCAGTTACCAGTTTTGAACTGAACATCGCTTCCACATGAATAACTTTGTTAAATTAAGATTTGACTTGTACTTCTAAAACTATTTTTCAATAAACTCAGTAGCAATGCGTTGTATAAAATAATTTGGATCAACATATTTCCTAGCGAGGGGAGTCTTAATAGATGTTCAAAAATGGGATTGAGTAGAGAAACAACAGCTCAAGAAATATCGCTTCTCCCGTCGGTGAGTCAAAAACAAAGCTAAATGACTTGAACCCTGCGTGTGCACATGAAAATAAGCTCGCAAAATTTTTCTCGCCATATATGTGAGCTGAATAGGTCATAAACTGGTTGTTTCGCAGTTTCAAAGGTACTGTGGAAGACGCACAAGCAGCGTCGACATAATTTTCTGAAGTCAGTTCTAGGGTAGCGCTTTAGATAGGTAGGATCTCAATCTTCGTTTGGTAATGGAAAACAGCATGCAACCAGATCAGTGCGATCAGGTGGAAAATGCCATTCCGTTCGTTATGGTCGAATGGAACGTGCTCACATGAATTTTTTCCTATAAATTCTTACCTTTTTTTAAACAAAGAATCTTGTCTAAACTGAGGTACCTTTCATGGAAAGTTGAAGATTAATATGACGATTCAGCTAAGTTTTTAAACAAAGATTCACGAAATTCATATTCTAAGTGCTTGAATACATATGAACAATACTCATCTCTAAAGAAAAAAAAAAACAGGAACAGAAAACAAAGAAACTTTGGATCCATTTCCGACCCAGTCTACTGATTCGGCCGCTAAAGCTACAAACACCCATGATCGACCAAGCTGACATATACACTCTTCTCGATGAACACATCGGTGGGGCTATCGCAATCTCTTTGCGGTGGCCAATTTACATTGCCAACAATGACAGCTTGGAACTTAGAGGAGAAAAGCCTTTTAATTCATTTTCCTTCACCACATTCGTCCGAATAAAAACTATTTTCCTTCTAATTCGGACAGAAAACTAGATAACACAGAGACAATGAAAGAACTACAGTAAATACAATTTGGGTAGCTTGTTTCAGGTTGAGCAAGTACCTACGGAAAAGTTTATTCCAAAAACCTATCAAATTCATAGATCACAAAAATAAGAGATCAATTCTGTAATTTTAGATCTAATTACTTGAAATAAATTCTAAATTCCAGCGATTTTGGCAACATCAAGTCTCTCTTGAACCTGTTCTTTAACATACATGTCCTTGGCTGAATCGGATTTCCAACGGCCATGGAGTTTCAACGGTCGCTCTCTTTGATGGATTTTTCCTCAATTTAGTTTCAATGGATGCGGTACCCCCAGACCTAAAGCAATGCGAAGCGTAAAGACGTTGATCATATCCCAGCTCATTCGAGCACCTCTTCAACATGTCCCATGAAGGACGTGTAAGAAACTTTTTATCACGTAAACTGCGGTGTTATACAAGGATTTCCGACCCTGAGAAAAGCCATAACAACACACATGAAAAAATATCCTTTTTTTTTAAGTGTGTTGATATTGCCAATCAGCTGCTGACACGTCACTCGCCTTTGGCACTACTCGTTCAGGTTGATGAATGAACGGCAAAGCCTTCACGATTCTCAATACAAGTTGTATGTTGGAGCTTCCTCGAATTATGGCGGCTAAAACGCCAAAAAATCCGTATCGCTGATAGACAGTGTGGTTCAAACTTTCCTAGAAGGGGAAGGAAACCAATATACTAAAAGAAAAACCGAAAGTTATATATTCAGTGGCTTTGGTGTTAGCATCTCTCTCGGCTGAGAATGAAAATCGACAACTGGAAGATTTGCCACCAGCCGATTTTGGCGGTTCACCTGAAAGACTTCTTCTGTCGGTAAGGACAAAGTCAATAATTGAGAATTCTGTAAATTAAAAATTACTACCATTGTTGTTTTCGTAATCATGATTCAACGCATTTTTCCATCTTAGGAGTTAGCGCCAACGCACTCTACGATTGTTATTCAGGGTTGCCGATTCATTTATTTTCATTCATCAGTAAAGTCGGCTATTCTTCTCAGTAAAGGGCAATTGTGTTTATATGATAAACAAAATAATACGTGGTTGCTTGTAGATATGGAGTTCCCTTCTCGTGTTCAACTCGACGAAAAATTCCATATCTACGTGCGCCCATGTATTATTCTGTATACGTTACCCAATACATGCTTTCTGCTAGATTTCAAAACCAAATTTTCCTAAACAAAAGTTCGGAAGACATGGACATGTTGATGTTAGCATAAACTAAATATCTTAGCAATAAACGATAGGGACACGTAAAATTTCTAGACTTATAAATAAATACAAATTGACCTCCTCTGTATATTAGAGAGTCAAGCTGACTCTAATCTAACATCACCATATAGCGTAACTATTCCATTGGCTAAAAACAAGTGACTGAATCCTTACCTCTGCCATGGCAACAAGTGTCATCACCCCTAAAATAGAAGTATTCCCTAATCATCGTAGAATAAAATACCCGAAAATACTTCGTTGCCTTTAATAAGCACTCCACAAGCGTAACTACCAGCATCGGAGTAAATAATTTTGCTATGAGAAAAATTGGTTCGAAAATTTCTTTAATGTCGAGAGTAGTGATATTTTCCCACCAAAATTTGACCTCTGCAAGGCAAGAAATGGCCCATTTCAAATTTCGTATCCCAATTGGGAGAAGCGGCCATGGATGTCAGACAGCGTCTAATTATGATAGGGGCCAGTCTGCCCACAATAGGACTCATAGTCATAACTGATCATGAACCGAGGACGGAAGATAAAAAATTAAACGTGCAGAAACGAAAAGTTTGGATTCGATATAGTCTATAATTGAACATGCCATGCAACTCTGCTTTGTTTAAGTAACACCAGGCTAGTCAAGTTTTTGAACAGGGTTCGAATACTCTTTGATTCATTAATGACAGAACCAGAAGGGCATAAATCACCTTTCATAAGATTAGAAGCGGGATCTAAATATACTTCACAATGAAAACATCAGGACCCCCAATACTTGACCAGCGGCCTTAAAATTTTGGTAAAATATACTGAACAGTAGATAATCCAAACAGAAGAACATTAAACATGACGAAACGTTCTCTACCATCAGGGAACATCCACGATAAACTTGTCTATGATGAGGACAAATGTCTAAATGATGATAACGACTTTTAAAATCGAAGTTAAAAGCAAAAGGTCCCATAGAAAAATACTCCAATGCTCTCTTATGAGCCGCGTATTTGAAATTAAATTTGTAGAGATCTTGATTGATCGCCTAAGGATGAGCCTTTTTTCCTTGCCGCAAGGTTGAATACATACCGACAAAGGATTAATATTGTGTAATTGTTAGGAATTGACTTCTAAAAATTTTGTCATCTTCAGGATGAGTTCAATGATAGCTTCTGTAACAAAATCACAGTTATCTAAACAAGAACGATTGTTCTTGCTCCAATATCTAGGTGGCGTAGTCAACAAGGGGATCCCACAACCATCGCAAATGTCAGACAGAATAAATTCAGACGCTCCCAAGAGCTCCCATAGAGAATTATGGGATTTGAGGCGACCATGAACGGAATGAGAGTCAGAGGTTGAACAGGCTGCTTCCCCCTTACTGAAATAGTAACATTGTAGCTCGGTTAATTGATTTTCATCAGAAGACTCGTCTTCGTCGCCATCATTTCCCATTAATTCCAGCTGTGCTGGATTTTACAGACTGGCTATCGATAAAAGCTTCTCAGTAGAAAGCTGAACTGGGCTGTTTGAAGGTGCTCGTACATTGTGAGCTCCAGAGTCCCCCATGGGCACAGGTGAACTACGAGTCGGACGGATGAGGTGTTCGATAGCCTTGTGCAAACAGATACCGAACAAAATTTGCGTTCAGCAATTTAGCAAAAACAATAAAATTTATTCTAACCGTAGGTGCTATCTTAAACCTGAAACCTAGGGTGAACAGTCTTTGTATACGACCTCCTTAAATACTCGGTCAGATAACGAACAATATCCCATAATTAAAAGATGTAAGAAATTCCTGTCAAGATATGCGAAGCGGAAAAATGCACATGCAAAACTGTGCCCTCTTAAAGAAAGGAAATTTGTTTTCATCCTCCCTCACACACTCGTCCGAATGAAAAATATTTTCCTCCTAATTCGTAAAGAATACAAGATAACACAGAGAAAATAAAAGAAATACAGTAAATAAAATTTGGTTAGCTTGTTTCAAGTTGAACAAGCTCTGGAAATAACAAAGAAAGGGCTAACAATCGCATTACCTCGAAAAAGCTGCCGGTCATCACTGCTAGCATTAGTAGAAGCAGAAGTAGAAGTAGCATCAAACCAGGCGGCTTTGGCTTTCTGCGGGTTTTATCCAGCGCTTTCTTGATTCTTTTTTCATCTTCCGAGTTGTCGGCGAGATTATCTTGCTCAACAAGTCATCCAGCATCACTTTTGTCGGCTAATTTGATCAATTTATGTCGTTTGCAAACGGATCAAACTCAAAGAAGTTTCAGAAGATTTTTGAGCCAGAGCATGCTCTCCTCTTTTCGAAAAATCGAGCGCGAAGGAATTATGATCTTCCATCTCCGCATTAATGAGAAATTGCTTTTCGTTTCCTTCGAATTTTAGCTTTTTCGCTTCTACTTCCCGCCTAAGCCTCTTGGCTTCACGGTGTCGGGACTGTTTTCTTGGGAAGGGATACTGCTCTTAAAAGCACCAAGTTTGGTATCAATATAGCTTTTGAACCTGTCAAAAATTCGATCTACAGACCCGGTGATAGGTTATGAAAGAGTACGAGCTTCTTCGCCGGGTTGTTCAGATATGTGCTCGCCTTCAGATGTATCACCAGTAGCTGAGTTCATATTAT